TATGCCTGGAATCCCAGCACTTTGGGAGACCGAGGTGGGCAGACTGCTTGAGTCTAGGAGTTCAAGACCAGTCTGGACAACATGGTAAAGCCCCATCTGTACAAAAACTAAACATATTAGCTGGGCCTGGTGGCTTGTGCCTGTAGTCCCAGCTACTTGGGAGGTTGAAGTGGGAGGATCGCTTGAGCCCAAGAAGTCAAAGCTGTAGTGAGCCATGATGGTGCCACTATACTCCAGCCTGGACAACAGAGTGAGACCCTGCCTCAAAAAATCTGGTTATAAAAGTAAAAGGTTCATTGATAAAACTTGGAAAATGCAGACACTACATGAGGAAAAAAATAAAGTAATCCATAAAACAACTCTGTTACAGCCTATAGTGTTATTGTGGAATAAGACTGTCTAGGATCGAATACTGGCTACTTAATTTCTCTTCACTTTAGGTTCTAACTGTAAATTGTAATGCAATATAATGTGAGAGGGCCACACATACCACTAACAATAAGGGAGGTTAGGCAAAGCTTGTTAGGAAACTTAAAGGCAGAGAAGCAAAACCACACATTCAATCCCCATATTTGCCATCATTGTCCCATAGAGTAGCACACTTGAATCAGGTGCAAGTGGACCCAGGGAAAGTTCACCATCTGAGGGCACATGCCCTGTTCCAATTCATATATATTTATATAGGCACAAGCCACCAGGTCCAGCTAATCTGTGTGGTTTTTGTCCAGATGGGGTTTTACCATGTTGCTCAGACTGGTCTTGAACTCCTAAGCTCAAGCAGTCTGCCTACCTCTGCCTCCCAAAGGAGGTCACACACCAAGGCTGCTACGAGTGAGTTTTCCAATGGGCTAATTCAGACCTGCTAAACCAGCTTCTTGCTAAGGTTCCAAAAAAAGGGGAATGAATCCCTGGTCCCTCTAAGTTTATCTTGCCTCATGTATCAAGGGAGATAGAGTTATTATTTATGTAAGAATGAATGGCTCAGTTTAATTGTCTAAAGAATCAATGCATTTAGTTAACACTTTTTTTTTTGAGATGGTGTCTTGCTCAGTGACCCAGTTAGAGTGTACTGGTACAACCATAGCTCACTGCAGCCTCAACTTCCTGGGCTCAATCTAGCCTCCTACATCTCAGCCTCCTGAACAGCTGGGACCACAGACATGCACCAACATGGCTAGCTAATTTTTTAAAATTATTTTTTGTCTTGCTATGTTGCCTGGGATGGTCTCAACCTCCTGGCCTCATGCAATCCTCCCACCTTGGCCTCCCAAGAGCTGGGATTACAACTGGGAGCCACCACACCTGGCCTAGTTTACACTATTAAGAATATTTTAAATCAGTAGCTCTTGGTGGGTGAAAATTGGGGGTGAAGTTAAAGACAGCATCAGAATAACTTCAGGCAACATTTTTCAGTCTTGGATGCCCACTGGGAACACCCAAAGAGCTATAAAATATACTGACGCCAGTCCTGACCCAAGAGATTCTGGCTTCATTGGCCTGATGTACAGTCTAGTCATTGGGATTTTCAGAAGTTCACCAGGTGATTCTAATATGTAGCAAAGGTTGCAAACCACTGACCTATGAAGGTCTGCCTACAATGGCTAAAATCAAAAGGACTGACAATCCAACTCCTGGTGAGGATGTGAAGCAACTAGAACTCTCAGATATTGATGACTGGAGTGTCAATTGGACCAACCTCTTTGAAAAATTGTTTGGTAGTGTCAGCCAAAACGAATATACACCTATCCTATGGGCCCAGCATTTTATCTCTGGGTATATACTCAAGAGAAATAAGAGCTTCTGTTCACCAAAAGACATGGGTAAAAATGTTCACACCAGCTTTATTTGTAGTAGTCCAAAACTGAACACAACCTAAATGTTTATCAACAGTAAAATGGGTACATTGTGGTAGATGCAAACAATCCTATACTACACAGAATTAAAAGTCACAACATGGGTGAATTCCATAGACATATGGAGTGAAAGGAGCTAGATACAATAATCCATGGAAATACAGGTCAAATAGAGGTTGCCCATGGTAGTGGCAGGTGCAGAATGGTGCCTGTTAGGGGAAATGTTTTCTATCTTGATCTGGGTAATGATTCTCTAAGCATATATCATAATTTTATCAAGCTGTAATTTTAAGATTGGTATGCTTTACTCTATGGTTATTATTCAGTTTAAAAATACAACTCAAGCATTTGTTTACAGCCATTACATATAAAAGGCTATATACCAATGAAGGAATACCAATCAAGGAAGTTCTTATGGAATTTTTAAAAGTGAAGAATTTTTAAGCTGGGGGAAAATATTCTTAAACCAGAAGTGCAGTCTCCCACTATACCTTACTCCCATCCTGCCCAGCTTGGAGAAAGTCTGGCCGATGTGTTTGACAAATGCTCCCCAGGTACTTCTGATATACTTCTCCCACCCCTGGTGGAGAATCACTGGTTTAAGCAATCTGTGGCCCACCAGCTAGGCACTGCCTGACCTGTAGAACTAGCTCTTCTGGGAACCTCTGGGGATTTTCCCTGGAGATATCATGTTCACTGCTTCTCTGTCATTTCACTTGCGTAAGTCTGAGAAATATGTTGCAGAACTTAAACATAAGGCTTCTGTTTCTATAATGTATGCCTTTTTGTTCTATTTTCTAATTTTCTGTAACTCCTGAGATTTCAAGGGAACTGTTCATTATTTAAATCTCATGCCTTATGTACTGTGACTTATAAGAACATCCCCAGTTAAGCCCAGTGTCTAGTCCTGGTGTTTTATCAGGAAATCAACACTAGCCAGCACCTTAGAACCCAGAAAGAGGCAGTTTCTCTGACCTCATTCCATGGAAAACATCTGTAACTGTTCTCTCAGCAATGTGTAACATTAGCCTCTGGAGAAGACCCATAAAGCATTTTGCTTCTCTACCTTGGGAATTTGCAGGAAAGGGCTGTCTGCATGAGCTCAGAATATCTATTAATATATTGCCACTCAGAGACTTAATAAGGATTGAAAAGGGGTTTCTGCTGCACTAAGGGAAATTTGTCAAGAGAATTCCAGAGTTTGAAGAAGCTGAAAGATGATTTTAAAACAAAGGCCTGAAAACTATGCATGATAAATTATCATAGAAGTGAGTACTTTTATAGGCATTCCATTTTCACATTGTTCAAAAGAACCAACTTTTCAGCAACCTCTTTAGAATCCGTTGGCAGCCCTATTGTAGATTCATTCCAGATGAACTCAGCCAGAACTTCCTGCAGCAATAAACATGTTCTATATCTGTGCTATCCAATATGGTACCCACTAGCCACAGGTGTCTATTGAGAACTTGATATTTAGCTAGTGCAACTGAGGAACTGAATTTTAAATTTTATCTAAATAGCCACATGTGGCTACTGTAATAGACAAGGCAGGACTACACAGTAATTATAGCTTGCCTCTTGAAATAATGGTTTTATAATTCACACCAGAGAAAAACCTAGGTTGTTTTTGATTTTAGACTTTTGACTAATTTCTATTTTTTCTTCAGTATAGAGTTCATGAGAAATTGGTTATAATATGCCTCAAAGCTCTAATAACAATTACTGTAGTAACTTCTAGTTTCCAAACTGACTCTTTCAGGTTGAGTCTTTCATAATTTGAGTGTGATTATTTTGACAAATATCAGATATTGTAATAACTGGATGTTACAAATCTGATCACAAAGTATTTTTCCCAGGTAACTGTCTGAAACTAGAGATGGTTGGTCTTGGAGTCAATAGTCCTTTGGATTTTTAAATCAGTGTTTACAAAGTGGAGCAAGAGTACTCATAAAATGAACCAAAAAAGTAACAACGAGAAGAGAAATACCAATAAAGCATGTTAAATTAAATAAGCAGGAGGCTATTGGCCTGAGGCTGATTTTCTACGCAATGAATTGGAATTTACAACAAGAAAAAAAGAATCCCTGACAGCTCTCAGCTGCTCTGCATTCACAGCTGGCCCTCGGTGCTTTGTGGAACATAAATAACTTCACAAGAACACCATCAGACGTGGCCGCTCTCTGACCGGATGGATCAAGACAAAAACAAGACTCTTTTGTAATCATGTGGGAATGCTGAAAAAAAAACATAAACATTGTCCAAACAACAAAAATGACAACACATCTCCTATCCCAGTTAATGATTCACTGGTCTTGTCTCCCTGCCTTTTAGGTAAGATTTATTATGACACTTAATCATACAATCGGCGTGCTTCCTGCCAGCACCCAGTCCAGAGTATTGGAATGGATACGCTGCTTCCCTGAACCTTTTTCCAAATTACCTTAGTGTAAGGAATCAGCAAAGGAGGCTATCACATTCGTTCAACCATCACTGTGCTTTTGGCCCTTTGCAGACAAAGAATGAGAATGTGCACAGGTGAGAAGTCCAGGATGCACATGACCAGTCAATTAACATTTACTATTTTCATATCAACTGATGCATTCTAGGATGGTATAAACACTTTTTGAATTAATTACTGCCTTAAATAGATTCACATTTATGCCTAGAGCTATGTCAACATCTAGCTGAGCACTGTCTTGCCTGTCCTGAGTAGAAGCCAAAAGTATAAGTTGTAAAGTACGTCAACAAACTTTGCTGCTGAAAAACGAAAGTGCGGTTTCTTTCTCTCCGGCCGTGGGAGGGGCCATAGCTCCGCCTCCAGGAAGCCGCGGGAGAGCAGTCCCACGGCCTCCGCCGATCGCTCTACGCAAGCGCCATTTGTCTAGCGCGCAGGCGCCGGATCCCAGGACCACGTGCGCTGGCCTGGAGGCTTGGATTGGCTGAGCCTTCCGGTCCTCCCAGTCCTGGTGATCCGGAAGTTCTCCGTGGACGCGGGGCGGCTGAAGGCTCCGGAACTGCGCCTGCGCTTTTCAGTGAGTCACACTTTGGGTTTGCCAGGGCCTTTGTCCCACAAAAGGACGAGCCTTTGTTCCCAGCGGAAGCCCACCCCGGCTTGCGGCGGCTTTCCGGTGCGCCCTGGGCGGCGTAAGCCCAAAGGTGTTTGCACCCTTGCCCCTTCCTCTCCGACAGCCGAGGTCGCCAGGGTGGGCTAACCCTCGGGACCGTCGCTGCTTGTGTGCTGGGTGCCGGGCCGTCATCCCGAGATGGTTAGCGGCAGGCTTTGCAGGTTGCTTGCCCCCACCCACCGGAACTCGAACCCGGGCTAGACCGGGCGGCTGGGCTGGTCCCTTCCCTCGCTGTACCTTTACTAGGGGTCACCATTAAGGGAAAGGGCCTTAGCGCAGTCCTGAGTGGCTGTTCAGTAACCGCGACACCGCTGCCAACATTTGGCATCATTAGGGCGGGGCTTCCTGTGAAGCTGGGAGCTGTATGTGGGTTAGGACTAGAAAGTTACAATTTCTATTTAGGCTTTAAGGAGATCTAAAGATCTGAACAGATCTAGGTTATTATTGACTTGTTACCAGTTTCTGGGAACATTGTTTCCACAACTTTCCTCTCGTTTTTCTCAGGGTTTAGGCCATTATTGTGCAGATATGTGCACCTTGCTTACTATAATATTAGCTAATCTTTACAAGCTTTTATATGCATCCAATCTGATATTTCGTGCCTGCTCTTCCTGGCACTGTATAAACTTTTTGGTATAGGTATGCATCTAAGCATTATCCATTTTAACATCAGTTCTAGAATTATGGTGTCTAATAATGGTAACCATTAGTTACATAAGGTTCGAGCACTTGAAATCTGGCTAGTCTGAATTGAGATGTGCTGTAAGTGTAAGACAGAGTGAATTTGGAGAGTTAGCATGAAAAAATAATGTAAAATACTTCAATTTGTTCATATTCACATGTTGAAATGACAGTATTCTGGATATACTGGGTTAAATAAAATGTATAATTTCACCTATTTTTGTTTTGTAACGTGACAACTAGAAATTTTTAAATCACATTTGTGGTTTGCATGTCATATTAATGTTGCACAGCACTGATCTAGAAAAGGGTCAGCGAACTGGCCTGCAGCCAAATCGAGCCTGCCCATTTCTGTAAACAAGTCAGCTGGAACAAGATCATGCTCATCCACTGTTATTTTCTGTATCTGCTGTTGCTGCTACAAGAGCAGCAGAGTTGAGTAGTCCAGAGAGATTATATGGCCTACAAGGCCCAAAATATGTACCTTCTGATCTTTAGCAGAAAAAATGTGCTGACCCCCTGCTCTACAACAATGCCTGGTTTGATATTTTTAAGCCTTTTAGGTGTAGACCCACATCCTATTATTCACGCTTACTGTGTGACGGGCATAGTTCAAAGCATTTTATCAAGACTTTCATTTAATTCTTATTAATCATAGGATGTTGGATTTCTCCCATTTCATAGATCAGGAAATTGAGACACAGAATGGTCAAGAAACTTATCCAACTTGGTTAGCACCCCTCACTTCTGGGGGCTGGACCTGCTTGACCTTCCTTATGCAAATATTTTAACCCTTCAAACCCACTTGATGAGCCCACAGTGGTCACCATAGTTTTTTGTTTTTTTAATGAGATTTCTTTGAACTAGAATTTTTTGAATGATTTTTTTTAACTAGAATTGAGATGGGCTTGGTCTCCTGTGGAAGAGGCAGAGGGGCATTGGGCTTAGGTGCAGTGAGTACAAGCAAGCTGGTGTGTAATGAAAAGAAATGAAGCTCACAAGCAGAGAGGAGAGAGAGCATCCTGAATGCTCATCGCTCATTTAACAACGAAAATGTGTTAAGTAGTAGTAAGCACTGGCTGGGTGTTTGCTAGGTGTGTATAGGTAAATAAAACATGTGGATCTTCTCTTGTGGTCTTGTGGGGAAGGCAGGAGAAATGTTTTTTAAATGTGATAAACACCGTGAAGAAAACAACATGCAAATTATTTACTGTTTTTAATAGGTTTTCTCACCTGTAAGATGAAAATAAGCTATTATCTGTATTTCAGGAGTATTGTGAGGATTCAGATGACAGGAGTGTGTATGGTCCGGAGAGTTCCTGAATGTTGCCTTCGACTGTGAGGAGGTAGGTGAGGGAGTGTCAGGAATTGTGTACATTATGACACTTAAAAGATTACAGTTGTCATTTGTAATTTGTAGAGAAGGTTGTCAGCTGCATTGTACACAGTAGGTGTTTTTAATCTTTTCTGACTTAATGGGACTCATCTAGAAAAAGCCGAAGTCAGAGAGTTGTCTGCATTCAGTCCAGGAGCAGGACCAGAGTTGTCTTTGGGACTGATGGCAGCCTAACTGGGAGGTCCTGCTGGGGTGTGGAGGAGGGTTGTGTGCCTGTGAGTGGTTTAAATCAGAGTCACCCTGGAGAGCTGAGCCAATATGCAGGCCCTATCCTCAGAGATTCTAATTCATCCTTTCTGGAGTGAGGCCCTGCCATTGTTTGTTTTTTGTTGTTTAATTTCCCCAGGTGATTCTAATAAGCATTCAGGGTTGAGAACCACCAATGGTGAGAGATAAGCCAGGCTCGGGATGCTGCTTGAGCAAAGGCCCAGAGCTGTGCCCATCAGTGGTTGAGAGTAGTCAAGGGGGAGGCCAGCTAGGGTCCTTTTTGCCACCTGGCCAAAGAGCTTGGGCTCCATCCTGCAAGCAAGGGGGAACCTCTGAAGGGCTTTAAGCAGGAAAATGAGGGAATATCTTGCTGAGGTCTGTACTAGAGGATGATCCCTCTAACAAAGTGCCAGACTCACAATTGGGCCTTGTGAGGGCCAGAGAGAGAATGAAGGCAGTGATGTAGCTGTCCAGATAATGGAGAGCCCAGATACGGTTTGGTACCATCCTGTGTGTGTTTCCCCTAGCAGCCAGTATCTGTCCGTGTTGAAATACCACATGTGTTGTAACTGGCCAGTTTCTTGTCAGTATTCCTTCCACTGGGCTATCAGCTCCTTCAAGGCAGAGACTATCTCTTTAGGCTCAGCATCTAGTACATACTCAACCCCTAATATTTATTGAATGAACTATGTAGAACTAAGCTGGACATACGCCTTGCTTTTTCTTTTTATGGCAATTGTCAGAATTTTAAACCTCCTAGGATAAATTCTTTATGTCTACATTATTGTCCCACAGAGGACTAGAAAGTTTGACTGGATTTCAATGCTGTTAAAAATGTAGAGGGGGTTGGAAAACAATATAGTGGGTCCTCAAAAAATTAAAAACAGAATTACCATATGATCCAGTAATTCCATTTCTGGATGTATACTCAAAATAGTTGAAAACAGGGTCTCAGAGGAAGATTGGTATACCAGTGCTCACAGCAGTGTTATTCACAATAGCCAAAAGGCAGAAGCAACCCAAGCATCCATTGACATTTGAATGGATAAACAAAATGTATATACAGACAATGGGAATATTATTTGGTCTTGAAAAGGAAGGAAGTTCTGACACACGCTACAACATGGATGAACCTTGAGGACATTATGCTAAGTGAAAAAACCAGTCACAAAAAGAGAAATAACTATGATTCCACTCATATGAGGTACCTAGAGTAGTCTCATCCATAGAGACAGAAAGTCGAATGGTGATTTCAGGGGCTGGTGGGAGGGAAGAATGAGGAGTTGTTTAATAGGTGCAGAGCTTCAGTTTCAGAGGATGAAAAGACTGCTGGACATAAGCATCTTGATGGCAGGGACTGTGTCTTTTCAAAAAATCCACTGACTCTGTTTATAGCACTTGATGTTAAATAATCACCACTGAACACAAACAGGTTAAGAACACTGAAGTGATTACAGAGGGAATTCTGCAATCTTCCCAGACACCATCTGACAAGTGACATAAAGCATAATGACCTTTAGTAATTCTACTTCTATGAAATAACTTTAGGGAAATGAGAGATGTGGAGACTGCATATGTAAGAATTTTCTTCAAACTTAGGAGAAACTGGAAGCCCTCAAATAGGAGAATGGTTAAAAACTATCACATACTCCTAGGATGATCCAATAATATAACCATTGAAAAATTCTACTTTTAAAGAATGTTTAATGATATAGAAAAATAGTCATAAAGTTAGGTGAAAAAAATCAAGATTTAAAGCTATATAAAAGATTAAACAGAGTTATATAATCCAGCAGATCCAAGATAAATGAAAACGTATGTCCACGTAAACACTTGTACACAGGCTGGGCATGGTGGCACATGCCTGTAATCCCAGCACTTTGGGAGGCCAACGCGGGTGGATCACCTGAGGTTAGGAGTTCGAGACCAGCCTGGCCAACATGATGAAACCCCATCTCAACTAAAAATACAAAAAGTAGCTGGGTGTGGTGGTGCACACCTGTAATCCCAGGTACTCGGGAGTCTGAGGCATGAGAATCACTTGAACCCAGGAGTCAGAGGTTGCAATTAGCCTCTGTACTCCAGCCTGGGTGACAGAGCGAGACTCCATCTAAAAAAAACCAAAAACCACTTGTACACAAATGTTCATAGCAGTATTATTCATAATAACCAAAAATGGGAAATAATCAAAATGTGCATCAACTGATGAATGGATAAATAAAATGTGATTCATCCACAGAACAGAATATTATTCGGCCATGACAAGGAATGAAGTACTGATACGTGCTACAACGTGGATGAACCTTGAAAGCATTATGCTGAGTGGAAGAAGCGAGATACAAAAGACCACATATTGTTGGTTTTATTTACATCAAATGTCCAGACAGCAAATCTATAGAGACAGAAAAAAGATTAGTTGTTGACTTGTTGGAGTGGGACAGAAGGGTAGTGGGGTAAAAGAGGAGGAGTAGCTGATAACATACAGGGTTTTTCTTGGGGAGTGGTGGCACAAATCTTCTAAAGTTGATTTTTTTATGGTGATGGGTTACACAACTGTGAATATACTAAAAAAACACTGAATTGTACACTTCAGGTGAATTGTATGGCATGTGAATTACATCTGAATAAAGTTGTTATTTAAAAATAGAATCTGATCCAAATTTTATTTAAGAATTACATGTGAAAAGACCAAAGAGATACACAAAATTTTTAAGAGGGGCATTTTCTAAATGGAAAGATTTTAGGTAATTTTCATTTGTTCTTTTACTCTTTTCTGTATTTTGTGTGATTAGCGTGTATTGTTTTCATAATCAGGAAAGTTATTGGTCTAATATGATTTCATGATAAACTGTATACATTTAAGATATCCCTACTGAAAAATGGTGTGAGTGATGGATCAATCACCTTCTACCCACCTTCCCTCTTGAATGAGAATATTGTCTCTTGAGAGTGGCTGTATCACCTGTGGCTTTGCATTCAGATAAGCATTCATAATTTCCTCAGAAATCGATCACTGCATCTCAAACAGGTGCATCTCTCCTCAAACTTTATCCAAAAATATCTGAACAGTTAAGAACCCTTAGATAACCAAGATTCTGAGTTCTGCATTTTTAACCACCAGAGGGAGCTAGACTATAGAAAGCCTCTGGCAGTCATTTTTGTTTTGTTTTAAAGTTGGTTTCACAGAAGGCCATCATTTCAGGATCTTACGTAATTTTCCTAATCTAAACCCATACTTTAAAGATAATTCTTTTTCCCTTTTTAAAATTCCACTTTTAAAGACTGCAAACATTAAAAGAGAGAATTCTTCCTAAGAATCAAAAGCTTAATAAAGAACAGGCAAGACAGCACAGAAAAATAAAAAATATTCACACTCTCTATTGCCAGCATTTCTCTCCAAATTGTCTTCTTCAGATCTTGAAGTCACCCAGTTGCGTCACAGTGATAAAGTTTCAAGCTGTTCAATATACTTGAGCCCTTCCCTACTTGTTGAAAAGTTTCTTAACCAAGAAGAAACATTCAGTGTGCCTGCATTCTGTATGCATTACTACTGAGGAAATCAGGATGGAGGTTTGCTAGGCATTGAGAAAAATGGTTAATAAGAGTTGGGCCTACAGTGCCCGAAAGGAAGTTAAGCAATATTTGACTCAGGTCAGAAGTTTTCAACTGAAGGTCTTTTGAGCTTCAGAGTGATTCTGGAAGGGAATTGTCACAACCCAAAAGCTCTTCATTTCATATGTTCTATGTTCTTTTATTGATCTCTTCATATTTATTTAAACATTTTTATTTGTGATAAAATATGCAAAACATAAAATTTACTGTCTTAAGCCTTTTTTTTTTTTTTTTTTTTGAGATGTCTTGCTCTGTCGCCAGGCTGGAGTGCAGTGGCATGATCTCGGCTCACTGCAGCCACCGCCTCCTGGCTTCAAGAGATTCTCCTGCCTCCGCCTCCTGAGTAGCTGGGACTACAGGTGCATGCCACCACGCCCACCGGATCACAAGGCAGGATCCTCCCAAAGTGCTGGCATTATAGGCGTGAGTGACTGCACCCGGCCTGTCTTAAGCCTTTTCAAGTGTGCAGTTCAGTAATGTTAAGTACATGTATCATTCCAGAGGGAAGGTGGGTAGAAGGTGATTGATCCATCACTCACACCATTTTTGAGTAGGGATATCTTAAATGTATACAGTTTATCATGAAATCATATTAGACCTATAACTTTTCTGATTGTGAAAACAATACATACTCATCACAGAAAATGCAGAAAAGAGTAAAAGAACAAATGAAAATTACCTAAAATCTTTCCATTCAGAAAATGCCCCTCTTAAAAATTTTGTGTATCTCTTCAGTCTTTTCTCATATAATTCTTAAATAAAATTTGGATCAGATTCTATTTTTAAATAACACCTTTATTCAGATGTAATTCACATGCCATACAATTCACCTGAAGTGTACAATTCAGTGTTTTGTAGTATATTCACAGTTGGGTAACCCATCACCACAAATAAGTCAACTTTAGAAAATTTATTTGTCCCACCCCCCTCCAAGAAAAATCCTGTATGTTATCAGCTGCTGCTCCTCCTTCACCCCACTGCTCTTCTGTCCCATTCCACCAAGTCAACAACTAATCTTTTTTTCTGTCTCTATAGATTTGCCTGTTCTGGACATTTCGTGTAAATAAAATCATATAATATATGGTCTTTTGTGTCTGACTTCTTCTGCTCAGCATAATGTTTTCAAGGTTCATCCATGTTGTAACCTGTATCAATACTTCATTCCTTTCCATGGCAGAATAATATTCTGTGGTGTGGATGAATCACATTTTATTTATCCATTCATCAGTTGATGGACATTTCGATTATTTCCCACTTATGGCTATTATGAATAATATTGCTATGAACGTTAGTGTGGAAGTTTTTGTGTGGGCATACGTTTTCATTTCTCTTGGTTCTGCTGGGTCATATGATAACTGTAGTTTCATATATAGTTTCAAATCTTGATTTTTTTCACATAATGACTGTTTTTCTATGTCATGAAATATTATCTAAATACATGATTTTTAAATGGTTACATTATTGTATCATCCTGGGAGTATGCCGTATTTTTAACCATTCTCCTGTTTGAGGGTCTTCCAGTCTCTCCTAAGTTAGAAGAAAATTCTTACATATGCAGTCTCCACTTCTCTCATTTACTTAAATTTATGGAAGTAGGATTACTAAAAGGTCATTGTGTTTTATGTCACTTGTCAGATGGTAATTGGGAAGATTGTATGAATTCTCTCTGTAATCACTTTAGTGTTCTTAGCCTGTGTATGTTCAGTGGTGATTATTTAGTATCAAGTGCTATAAAACAGAGCCCATAGATTTTTGAAAAGACACAGTCCCTGCTGTCAAGATGCATATGTTTACATTTAGACCAGACAGATAAATATAGATCCAAGGACATCATATAGACAGGATTATGTACATTATGTGGAGGGAAAAAATAGACCACTTAGATAAAGTAAATGTTTGCCTGCCTAGGATGAGATTCACACAGACATAATCATTGAGCAACTTTTCACACTTAAAAAGTTTTTTTTAAATTAACGAAACCAAAATGTAGGAACCAGTAAGTCTAAAGTCATAAATCACCTGGATCCTTGAGAATGAACCTTTCCCTTGTTCAGAAGACTCCTAAGGCAGCACAGTGTAGCCTGTTGGCTTTTGGGACCTGCAGATCTAGCTCTGGCTGCTTTTCAACCTGTGCTATCTCACAGTTTCCTTAGATTGCTTGAGACATTAGCAAACCTTTTCTGTCCTGTTTCTTACTCTTTTATATTCAGAAGAATGCCACTTTAAAGATTATGAAATGAGCAAGTAGTTCAGTTATGTAGCTGACTCTGGGGGAAAAACAGTCTAGCACTGTTCAGCCTTGCCATATTGATGCTGACACTGGCATGATTTCATCTCCAGCATGACCACCAGATTCCACCCAAATGGAATGACTAAAAGATTAAAGATAATTGATTTGTAAAATTGGAGCTGGACAAGCTATGGCAGATCCTCCAGCAAGCCTCTAAGCAGATGTTATATAGAGGCTTTGCAATACTGGTTTTTTTGTTTGTTTGTTTGTTTTTTAACTAGTAGGAATTAAACTCTTGAAAGTAAACCATACCACATTAAAGATTCCATTTTCTAGCATGTCACATACATTTGTATTACATGACTCCTTCATAAAACATTGCCTAGGTAACTGACAAAAAGTGCTTTTTAATATCCAGAAGCTGTAGCCAGCAAAGACAAACTTAAGAAAGCGGAAACCTCTTTTTTGCTTTGCAGTTGTAAAGATGTCTAACAAGAACCAGATAGCTGCCAGAGCCTCCCTTATTGAGCAACTGATGTCTAAAAGGAAATTTGAGGATCTTGGCAACCACCTTACTGAGCTAGAAACAATTTATGTGACTAAGGAGCATCTCCAGGAGACAGATGTGGTCAGAGTTGTGTACAGAGTCCTGACAAACTGCCCCTCTGTGGCTTTGAAAAAGAAAGCCAAGTGTTTGCTATCAAAGTGGAAAGCTGTTTATAAAGAGACTCACTTCAAAGCAAGGGACAGCCCTAAATTACTTCCTGTGAGGGGTAATAAAGAAGAAAATTCAGGACTTTCTCATGACCCAAGTTATGATGAGACACTGGGCATCTGCAGCTCGAATTCTCTATCGTCCCAAGATGTTGCAAAACCCAGTGAAATGATTGTGCCTGAAAATGGAGCCATTCAATTGAAACCTAAGGAAGAGCATTTTGAGGATGGTGACCCTGAATCCACTGGGAAGAGATCAAGTGAGTTGCTGGATCCAACACCCATGAGAACTAAATGCATAGAGCTTCTTTACTCAGCTTTAACTACTTCTTCCACAGATCAACCCAGAGCCGATTTGTGGCAAAACTTTGCAAGAGAAATTGAAGAGCATGTTTTTACCCTTTATTCAAAGAACATCAAAAAATATAAAACTTGCATCAGAAGCAAAGTTGCCAATTTGAAGAACCCCAAAAATTCTCACTTAAAACAAAACTTGTTCTCTGGGACCATGTCTCCACGAGAGTTTGCTGAAATGAGTGTCATGGAGATGGCCAATAAGGAACTGAAGCAGTTGAGAGCCTCCTACACAGAATCTTGTATTCAGGAACATTACCTTCCCCAAGTGATTGATGGCACACAGACAAATAAAATAAAATGCAGACGCTGTGAGAAATACAATTGCAAAGTCACCACAATTGCCAGAGGAACACTTTTCCTTCCCACCTGGGTGCGGAATTCAAACGCAGATGAACAAATGATGACTTATGTAATTTGCAATGAATGTGGGGAGCAGTGGTACCATAGCAACTGGGTGTGCTTGTAACTGTAAATCAGTGTTCTCTTAACAAATAACCCGAGTGATACCTTTTATTTGTGCAACCCTTTTGTGCTTTTAAAAAATCTTATACACACTACTCTCTAAAACAGAAGGAGGAGGAAAGAAAGTCATTAGCTGAAGCTCACATCACCATCCCTAAAAGTTACAGTTTGGGGAGAGGGAGTAGATGACTATTTATGTTGGGCCTTATGGTCATTTAGTACCTTACTGTCCTCAGAGTGTGGTTGAGAGCAGCTCAGCATAAACTGGGAGCCTGTGGAAAATGCATTCCCAGGCCCCACACTATTGAATCCAAATCTACATTTTGGCAGGATCCCCAGATAACCTTCTAGGACAGGATGGTTTGAGAAGTGCTGCTTTAGTAACAGGCTTGTGGCTCTCAGCAGTGGCTGCATATTAAAATCATCTGGGAAGCTTTGAAAACCCACTGGTGCTGAGAACCCACCCGAGAGCAATTCCGTTGGAACCTATGAGATGGGACCCAGGCATCAACATTTCTTTTTTAACTCCTCAAGTTATTTTAAGATGCAGTCAGAGTTGAGAACTACTGAGAAATAGGCTCTCATTTGATCCTTTTTACAGCTCTAAGACAAGAGTGTTAATTCCAGGTACCTCACAAATGAGGAAACAGGTCCACAGAGGTGTGGTGACTTGCCCAGTGACACAACCATAAATAGTCCAATTCAGACAGATCCCAGATTTTCTTCCTCCAGACTCACTGAGACTGGCTCAATATTGACCTCTGAGAAATGTGTTCCTGGAGGTCAGGGACGAAATGACTAACATTGGGTGGCTGGATCTTCTTTTTTTTTTTTAAGGATTTAAGAGATTTAATGGAAAATTCCTTTAAAAAGTCTTAAAAAATATATCTGCATATCTCTCACAATTACCCTGTGTGATCAAATGAGTTAAGTTTTTTCTATATTCAAGTCTATAATTTTTAAAAATCTAGTTTGCTAAACTCTAATGATTTTTTGAAAAGTTTATTAGGAATATCATCTTTTCTAGTCAGAGTAGCAGTTTAATCAAAATGTCTCTTGTTTCTTTGTACATCTTCATTCTTTTTCCCCTTTTCTCACAGGTCTCCCTTCAACCACAAAAGTCACCCCGAGGCCGGGCACAGTGGCTCACACCTGTAATCCCAGCACTTTGGGAGGCTGAGGCAGGTAGATCAAAAGGTCAGGATTTTGAGACTAGCCTGGCCAATATGGTGAAACCCCGTCTCTACTAAAAATACAAAAATTAGCCAACTGTGGTGATGCACGCCCGTAATCCCAGCTACTTAGGAGGCTGAGGCAAGGCCAATTGTTTGAACCCAGGGGCAGAGGTTGCAGTGAGCTGAGATCATGCCATTGCACTCTGGCCTGGGCAACAAGAGCAAAACTTTGTCTCAAAAAAAAAAAAGTCACCCCGGAACTCATCCCACATCATGTTCTCAAGGGCAAGTGTCCTTGAGATGGACATTAATGGTCATTAATCTGTCAGAGGCAGTCCATTGCCTTAGCCTTTGAATGTAGTAACAGACATTTATCTAATAAATGAATTGAAGAGGAAATTACTTCTTTGAGGCCTTTGCAAATAGTGTTTAACCAGTTTATATAATTATTTGAATACAGCAAGCCTTCTATGTGATTATGGCTGATTTTTTTCCTTAAAAAAAATCAGAATGTTCATTGTTTTATAGTTTTAGAAAGTTTACTTTGGCGGTCTCTACAAACCTACACATTTTCACTTTTTCACTTGTTCTTTTCTCAACTCTATTATAAATTTCCTTTGTTGGAGCTCTGAAGGCCTAACTGCATGTACGCTTTACCTGCCTGACAAAATTCTCCAAAACGTGCATAAAACTAAACTACGTTTGTATTTGCAAATGATTTGGAAGAGTTGGCTCAATGCCATCAAGTGTGAAATCTATTTTGATACACTTTCTCCCATGTCTTCCCCCGGCTGCTTTTTGTGAGGCAACATATTTAGTCCTTAACTTGCAAGGTCATCTAGCACTTAAAGTTTCACAAAGTGTCGTTTCATATGACTTGGAATAATCTGAAAAAGCATTCAGTGGTTACAAAACAGAACAGCACATAAAAACCAAATTTGATTAGTCCAAGTCAGCGTTTGTGTTTTGCTTTTGGGGTTTGTGTGTATGTGTGTAGTTTTATTTATATTGGAATTTGGTAAACTAAATGTTCAGACAAATAAATTACTTGAAATGGAAATTTCCTTACTCTCCAAGATACAAAAATCTGCATGGTCTTCCTCATTTCGTTTCATCTTTATTAGTTTTGCAACTCAAGATAGGAAAATAGGAATCTGTATTTTTCTTTTGGTGAATGAGACAGCATTACCTTTTCTGCCTATAGATAATTCTTTCACATCCTATGTCCTTTCCCCTAAAAAAAAGGATTTTCTTCAAAATTGACTGCTGGGTAAAGATTTTTTTTTTTTTTTTTTTTTTTTTTTTTAGACAGGTTCTCTGTCATGCAGGCTATAATGAATGGCACCATCTCAGCTCACTGCAGCCTCAACCTCCTGGGCTCATGCGATTTGGCTTTTTTTTTAATTTTTGGTTTTATAAAAATTTTTTAGATAGGTTCTCTGTCACCTAGGCTGGAGTGAATGGCGCCATCTCAGCTCACTGCAGCTTCAACCTCCTGGGCTCAATTGATCCTCCAACCTCAGCATCCCCACTCCCTCGAGTAGCTGGGACTGCAGGCACATGCCACCACACCCAGCTAAGTTTTGTATTTTTTGTAGAGACAGGGTTTCGCCATGTTGCCAGGCTGGTCTCAAACTCCTGGGCTCGAGCCATCCTCCCAAAGTATTCCGCCTCCCAAAGTGCTGGGATTACAGGCATGAGTTACCGTGCCTGGCCAAGACTCTTTAATTTAAAATCACTTTTACAGAAACAACAAATGGAAGGTCCTGGCACAGGAAAGTGCCTGATACAGTCAAGTTCCAGCAACAGTCCACGGCAGCTAAGTCATAGTGAGCAAGGGGAACAAGGATGAGAGATGCAGTCAAAGAGGCCATCATGAGGGCTCTTGTTGGCCATGGTAAGGATTTGGGGGTTTCTTAAAGCATGACAGGAAACCACAGAAGCTGGGGGGTTTGTGGTGATGTAATTTGAACACCCTTTAGGAAGGATGACTCTGGCTGTTACGTTGAATTAGACGGGGAAGGAAGCAAGGATCCATGCAGGGACAACAGGTGACCGTTGCAGTGGTGCAAATGCCACATAACTAGTTTCAAGCAAGAGTACACAGAGACTGGGCTCCCTGAATCCTTATAGCAAGCAAAGTCCTTGACAACTTTGCAAATTGATGTTTCATAAAATTCACTAAATTCCAAATTCCCTACCCATGGCCCATAAATAAACAATAATATGCAGTGTGGAAACTCACACTGGACAAGTATCTCCTATATCCTGGTTGCCATGGTTACTGGGAGTCCCTGTGTAAGGCATAAACACCAGTTGTCATACCTGAATGTAGGAGCACTCTCTTGACTCTTGATGGGTTTTTCCACATCACTCTCCTTTGTCTGTGTTACTTTTTTGAGATAAAAAGTTGGATACAATTGCAGCTCTGTCTCTTCCCTGAGCACTTCCTGTGATGAGAGGCTCCTTTCATTCGCCACTACCATTTCTAAATACCAGTCAGGAAGCCTGCAGCTGGCAGTGCCCCACTGCTCTGGCAAGGGCTGGCCCTTCGTTTTCTGGGTCAGATTGCTTTGTTATTTATAACTTCCCAGTAAATGTGAAATATTTTACTAAAGTAATTATTTTTGTATCTCTCAGAGATACTTACTGTAAGTACCTAGGTGATAGAAGGCATCTTCGTGCTTTTAGAAGAGCCCCACAATCAGAAGGGAGACCAGATGACAACTCCATATAGTCCCAT